ACTCAACATGTATTATAAAATCATTTTTTAAAAAATTCAAATGTGAGAGACTTCACATTTATCTTTATTACATGTGAGATTCAGCCTGATGTTTTATGCTGATAAGATCTTTTTGGAAGAAAATCAATTATGCGGATTTAATTACAGCTCCCTTGGACTCTTAACCTTTATTCATTCTTACGCCTGGGGTCTTAGGCTCTGATAAGTGAGCTTTCACCTACATCCTGCCAGAGGGGATAAACTAAAAATGAAGAATGACACATTTTTTGGACATAGTCAATGTGGGAATTTGTTTAGCTCAACTATGCTCATTTGTTATGAGAGTTTGGGGGGTAGCCAAGTGGTATGATTGATAGAGTGCAGAACCTGAGTCAGGAAAACCTGCATTAAAATCCTGCCTCAGGTACTTACTAGCCATGTAATTCTTGGCAAGTCATTTAACCTCTCTAAGCCTCAGTCTCCTAATTTGTAAAATGGGGATAATATACAAAGATCAAATGAAATAACATAAAATACTTTTCAAACCTTAAAATGCTACATAAATGGTATGATAAATAAGCACTTTCTTTCTCATTATTTTATGCAGGGGGGACAGTGGGAGAAAATAAATGCTTATAAAAAATAATCAATTCATTTTTTAAAGTGAGCTTTTACTGCTCTGAACAAGAACACTACACTACCCTCTGGCCAGCTCCAAGCCACCTGGATGCTCTTCTGTCTCACATTCTGCCACTGTTGTCCAACACCAATACCTGTCACATCTTTCCAATGCTAGCTCTATTACAGGTGTTGTCATTCCCCATTCTAAGGCTTGAGGAGTTCACTTGTATCGCCATTTCTTACTAGAGTGCTTGGCACAGTAGTAGGTCTTTAATAAATGCTCATTCATTCATTCAATTCTACTTCTAAAATGACTGCTCTTTCTTGTCATCAAAAAAGCTGAAAAATTCTTGCAGAACATTTCCCTGCCCCCAGCCTAGCATTCTGCAGCAGATTTCAACACAGCACTGTGCTTCACAAGAAGCTCTCCCACTGCCATCCCCAGCACTCAAAGGCAGCCAGCAGTCAGAGGGAGTTCCCTTCGGTAGTATTTCCTCTAAGAGCAATGACTCTTAAACAAAAAGGGTTTGCAGAAGGATAATCAAATGTCATGACCAACTGCAAATCCCTGGCAGGTTGCATTACTGACCTACTTTCAGAGTATGTGAATGTAGATTTTTTAGATTGCTGAGGCTTACATTTATGGTCTGATCTGGACTTCTGTCCCTGGCAAAATAACCCATCCCCATTTGGGGAGACAAGATGGAAACAAGGTTATAGAATGAGTATATGCTGAGAAAAGGGAGGGTGGAGGATGCTTCAAGGGCCCATAACAGGTAGCTGAGTTTACCAGCTGAAGTCTGCTCTGTTCCATTTTCATTTGGCCCAACTCACTCTGTTTCTTTTAGTCAAAAGGTACAATGCTACCAATGGCTACCTTATTCCTTTTTCAAGAGAAAAATGACTAAATAAATACAGCCATAGTACAGTAGAAATGGCAACTGGATTTAGAGTCAGAGAACCTTGGTTCAACTCTCAACTCTGTTGCTTGCTAATCAAGTGAACTTGAGTGTGTTGAGTGTTGAACTTCTTCATTTAAAAAATTAGGGGATTGGGCTAGATAATATTTAAAGTCCCCACTAGCTATGAACATACTACAAATCCTATGATCCTCTATAATTTGGCCAATGGAAGCAATGTACTACATAGTCCCACTTCACCTGGGCTATTATTTTTCAGAGAACAAGAAATATTGAACACACGAGGTCAGTGACCTGGCAATGAATGCAACTGGGCACTCTGCACAGATCATACATCTTTTTAGGCCCAGCTAAGACCAAAGCTCGAAAATAAAAATCTCCATGGAAATTTTTATTGCCACATGAAAATCTCAAATGGAGAGAAGGTAGCCTTGATTAATAATAGTAATAATGAAAGGCTAGAAAAGTGGTTTTTGTTTGTTATTATTCCTTTAATCATCTGGACAGAGGCAGAACTAGTTTTTGCCAAATGGTGCTTGCTTGCCATCAGTGCCAACCTATCTCATGGGCCCATTCTACCAGCACAAAACTTAATGGTGATGCAAAAGGAATGACAACAGAAATCAAGAGAATTCCTTGGCTACAGATCACCTTTCCTGTTATTCCCCAACTCTTGGTAGATATAACATGAGCTTTACACAAAAATTCAAGATCACATACTTTAAAACCTCTTCAGGCCTAAGCCAGGAAGCATATATGGAACCATGATGCATAAGGTTGTAAACCACTCTTGTTATTGGTACACACCTGGTACCCAGAGCCACCATTTCCCATATATATTGTGTAGCCTTTGGTTGGTCAGACTTGGTTACTTGGTCTCTTAACCCTTTGTTCTTCAGGCTTTAGGTGGCTAGGCAGCTACTTATTCATTTTCCAAAGACACTTGTACAAGGGCTATATCTATAAGGACAACCAATAGTTGTATATTTAGGATGTCCTGGTTTGGAGCAGTTTTCCCCTTTTTTTCCCTTAGTGGATCTACTGTCTTCTATCCCAGAGAGAGAAATGAATTGAAGTCAAGGACTGTTGATAGAAAGCCTAGTGTAACTTTTTATTTTATGTAAAGAGAGAAGTGGTGCTTTATAGCAAAGGTAAGGCAACCAAAGTAATGGCAGGCCACACAGACCAAGAGAATTTCTTGGCCATGTTACTGCTTTATTTGACTGCCATCACCCTTCTCCCCCCAAAAAATTGCCTGAAGTCTAATGTCATTCAAGGAAGCCATCCTCAGGCTCAAATACCTTTACTATTTCTCCATGGGCCTCAATAATTGGTTTCAACTAGTATTTATTAAGCACTGTCCTATGCCCTGGGGATAGATACAAAGATAAAAATTAAATAGTACTTGACCTCAAGCCCTTAAATTCTTACATACATAGATAAGCATATGTATATGTGTGCATATATGTATATGTGTATATATGTATATATGTATATATATACATACATACATAAACACAAACACACATATACACATACAGACACTAAACACACACACACACACACACACACACACACACACACACGATACAACTTTTACTGGGGAGAAGGAAGACGAAGTGTTTACTGAAGAATCAAGAAGAAAGTCTTTCAATTCCAAGAGTCTGAGGCAAGGAAGAGAGCATTTCAGGCCTAAGGGATAGGTAATACAAAGGCATGGTGATAGGACATAGGATGTTATGCATATAGAACAGAAAACAGGGCAGTTTGGTTGGAGCATACAGTTTGGGGGTGGGGTGTGTGTGTGTGTGTGTGTGTGTGTAGATTAATGTATAATCAAGCTGGAAAGATAAATTGGAGACATTGTGAAGGACTCTAAATGCCAAATGCAGGAGTGTTTATTTTATATTAGAGGCAGTAAGTAGTAATTGAAGCTTCTTGAAAAGGGGAGTGACATGGTCAGCCCTTTGAAGAACATCAGTCTGAGGAGTACAGGCTGGGACCCAACTGATTTCTCCCAAAATTCCTCTCTAAACAACTTTAAAATAACTTAAAAGAAAGAGAAGAAAAACTTTTTTGCACAACTAGTCAACACAGTGACCATGTATGACATTCATAAAACCTCACCTCTTCAATGAAGGGAAGAAGGGGAATATTCTCAACCCTTTTTGCCTAAAGACTTCTTGCCCTCTGCCATTTACATGAGTTGTTTCCCTGCTACAGCGGATAGTAAAGGGAGCATGCCATGGCCTGGGGGTGACCACTCAGAGATAACTGAGGGAGGCAGTCAGTGGTGTTCTCTAGCTGCCCATCACAGGCATTTTCTTTTCCCTTTCTTTCCTTCCTTTCTCTTTTTCTTTTTCCCTTTCTTCCCTTCCCTTTATTTTCCCAGTCCTTTTCTTCTTAATCTCTATCTTAGAGTAGGGAAAGCACTGGACTAATAATCAAAAGAGCTGAGTTTGAGTCCTGTCTCTAATAATTACCATCTATGTGTCCAATGGTAATTGATTCAACCTCTTCCAGGCTTCTGCTGACCTCAGTTCCACAATATTCTTTAAGAAAATGAACAAACTAAGCCTCACTGGGCCTGCTGATATGCAATTATTTTGAAACTGTCAGCAAATGCCAATGGAAACTAAATGTAAAAGAAATCCCCTCATATCAATGAAGGAAGTCCTGTGAGATCATTCAGACACTCAGTTCTGTTTTAATAGGTTCTAAGGGAACTATGACAGTACCATCTTATAGAAAGTTTCTATTTAACCCCCAGGATCCATTTTCTCATTTCAGAAGAATTTAAAAAACCACATATTTAAGATCACTGAACTCACTCACAAATGGACAGTGGCAGAATTCTTTTGCCCACTTTGAGAATTCCTTCTCATCCTATCCCCACACTGTAGATAGGTGTTAGGAGCTCTTAGAGAGCTGGAGTCCAAGTAAAGAAATTCATTTACTGACTGCTTCAGACAGTCTTTAGGAGATCAATCCTTGTTTGTTTTCTGTCATTGAGGAATATGCCCATAAAGAGTGTCAACTCTATTGGACAGAAGTTCCATGGCCCTACTGTTAGCTTTTTTTCATTTTGCTCCTGGTTCCCAAAAATTTTATTCTCAGGTGGAATTTTCCTGTTTTCCCTGAAGTTATCTTGCATAAAAACAACTGTGCTGCTCCTGTAATTTAAACATCATTTCAATTAGGCACATGGCACATTCCACCCCCTTCCTTTAATCTTTTCGTGTCTTTTGAACAAATCCTTTCCTGGTGCCTACTTTTAAAATGGCTTCTTTTAAATTACAACCACGGTTCAGGTATGGCAGAAACAAAAATGAAATGTTGAAAGGAAAAGATATAGGGAAAAAAAACAAACTTTGGCTAAATCTGTGTCTTGGAACTTCCCTGTTCTGTGCTACTGCCTGCATTACCATAGAGACCACTCTGCTCACGCCATCGATACTGACCAAGGCATTTAGTACTTACTGTGATCGTGCTTTCCTTGCTCTGTTTCTTGCCTGGAGATGGAGACCCTGGGTTCTGGCAAGAAAGGAAAGAAGCATCATCAAAGCTGCTCTCCATATTTGGCATTTTTTGCATCCTGATTTTCAGAGGAGGAATGGATGCCTAAGCCTGGTGCCAAGGAATCCCAATATATTCAGTTTAACTCCTAAGTCACCATGCCCAAGACAATGGAAAACAGCACCATGCAGCTCCCATCTTAGTTCACTGAAGCAGAGATAGAGTGCTACTTGTTAAGACAATTCACTCAAGCCAGGTCTCTACCTACTCTTATAATCAGATTGTGATTTGGGTAGTTAACCCTTCAGCTACCCTTAACTACTCTGCTATTGACTCTGCTACATGAAATCAATAGAATTCACGGAGGACTAAAGCACTCTTTGCACTGTGAATTTAGTAAATGGTTTTTTATTCTGCAATATACAGGTTTGGGGATCTGGAAAAATACTATGAACAATATAATTCAGAATTCAGATTTCTTTGCTGTCTCTCTCCGAATTCAAGTGAACCACAAGTGATTTTCAGTTAAGGAGTTTGCAGTTTTCATTCAGTCTATTATTTCTCTTTTGTTTTCTTCCTTTTCCCAGGAAGAAAGGCATGGTCCCGGTCACTTTGAGTCCACACATATCCTAGCTGATTCCTGAGGTTCTCGTAATTTAAAGCTTGGATAACAAAGAATGCTCAGAACAAAATAAAATTTCCTGGTAGTGCAGGCCACAGAGGATGGACAGAGTCAAAAACTCAGTTCTGGGACCTTTCTTGTCCAATCAATGCGTAAGTGACTGAATATAATGAGGGTTCACAGAGTAGGACTTTTAACAACAATTTCCTGCTTGGAATATTTCAATAATAAGAATGAGATAAAACACTGGACAACATTACACATTTGTCTAATAACTTACATTTTCGTGCTTTCTTTTTTCTTTTATTGGGTGGGACAGAGGTGGCAAGAAGAAGATTGCAGTTTTTTTATAGACAAACTAGGGGTCAACAAATATTTGATAACATAAATTGTACTATGTAAAAGTCATGGCATACAAGGCGCAATGAGAACAAATTATGTAAGATATATATATATATATATACACACACATATGTATATTATTATTACTTTAAGATGTACAAAGCTCTTTCTATATATTATTTCATTGATCCTCATAAAAACCCTGGAAGGTAGGTGCTATTATTATCCCCATTTTGCAAATGAGGAAACTGAGACTGACACAGGGTAAGAGATTTACCCAAGGTCATACCACTAGCAAGATTAGACCTCAGATCTTCCTAACTCTTATTCTAACACTATATCGACTATGATACTTGATTCCCCAAAATGAAACAGTTCCCTCTTTCAAAGAGTTTACATTCCATTTGTAGGATACATGTGCATAAATAAAGTTTAAGATAATTTGAAATTTGCTAACAACTAAGTGAGCCAGACAAGATTGCCAATATGAGGTGGCACCTGAGTTTAACCTAGAAGGAAGCATGGGGACAGCCTATGAAGTAGAACAGAGACAGAAGATGGAACACTGAATTTGGAGAGCAGCTAGTAGGCCAATTTGACTGTAATGTGAAATAATTATCCACAGGTGTTAGCCAGACTATGGAGGGCTTTAAATGCACCAAAGAGGGGAGTTTGCATCCTATCCTAGAGGCAATATCCTAGAGAAGATTTCTGAGCCGTGCAGTGACCTGGCAAGTTCTGTGTCTTAGAAAGATTAATTTGACCCCTGCTGAGGATAGGCTATTTCAATAGTCCATGGGAGACATGATGAAAGCCTGAACTAGAAGAGTAGCCTTATAAAATGGAAAAAAGGGGACAGATTCAAAAGATAGGTAAAGGATGGATAAGGTTTGGCAACTGATTGGATATTGTTGGAAAGGTGAGAGAGAGAGGGAAAAGTTGAGTCAAGACACTAATGTTATAAATTTGGGAGACTAGAGATAGTATTCTCATCAGAAAAAAAAACAAAATTTGAAAGAGGAACATGTATGGGGAAAAATAACAGTTCCACTTTAGGCATGTTGAGTTTGAGATATTGATAGGACTTCCAAGTAGCACATCTAGAATGCAGCTGGTGATGAGCATTCAGGAGCGAGGTTAGGGCCGGATACATAAACCATTGGATAGATAAATCATTTGCTTAGAGATAATAACTGAGTCAATGGAAGCTGATGAGAGCACTTAGAAAAAGAGTACACAAGAGGAAGAGAAAATGGCCTTGGGGTATACTCATGCTTGTAGGATAGGAGATGGGTGATGATCCAGCAAAGTAGAGTGACAAGGAGAATTCAAATAGGTAAACAGAGAAGATAACCATCATAGAAGTCAAGGGAGGAGAGAATACCCGGGAGTAAAGGGGGTAGTCAACATAGTTACAGAGAGAGAAAATAAGATAGTGCCTGAGAAAAGGTTGTTGGGTTTTTCAGTTAACAGAGAACAGCTTCAGTTGAATGACGGAGTCAGAAGATTGCAAGGGGATGAGAAGGTAATTGAATAGTTACTACTGCACAAAATTATTGTGAGGCTTAAATGAGATATTTTGCAAAGCATTCTGCAAAATTTCAGATATGCACACATATGTATATATTTAAAGAAACAAGTAGGAGGTAAAAAATGAAGGCAACTAATCTTGATGACTCTTTCTAGGAATTTGGCTATGAAAAGGATAGGAGATATAGAATAAGGAAAATAATTTGGAATTTGGAATTGTGAGAATAACGTCACCATACTTCATACCGTTTGAACACAAGGAGTTCAGTGACATAAAAGTAAAATGTAAAAATATGCATAGCAGTTCCTTTGGTGGTATGAAAAAACTGGAAACCAAGCGAGTACCCACCAGTTGAACAATGGCTAAACAAAATGCGACACATAAGTTTAATAGGATATTTCAGTGAAGAAGTATTGAATGTGAAGAAGCCATACAAATGTGAGAAGGCCTCTAGGAACCAATGTAGAACAAATTAAGAAGACCCTAGAGAAAAATACACACAATTACTATAATAAAGTAAAAGAAAACACATAGAAAGTCATCCAAACTCAGATTAATTGCAATGACCAATGACAGTCCTTTGAATATAATATCTAAAGACAAATCATCATGTCTTCCCTTAGTCTTCTCTTCCTGAGGCTAAACATCTCCAGTTCCTTAAAATGTGTCACAATTGACAGTTTCCAGACTTTCTGCCACCTTAATCATTGCATACTGAAAGCCTTCTAGGTTAATGTTTTTATTAAAATCTAGAAATGAACACTATACTCCAAATAAAAATAAAAGCTCACATTTAAATAGAGCTCTAAGGTTTGCAAAAGCACCTTCTTCAAAACAACCCTTTAAAGGAAGTATTAATGCAGGTATTATTATCTCCATTGCAGAGATGAAGAAACTGAGATACAGAGAGGCATACAGATTCACAAGTAAAAAATGTTGGGCTTGGAACTGAAATCCTATTCTTCAGGCCCTGAATCCTATGGCCTTTCTATTCCACCATCTATTCCAGATTAATTTGGCTGAAGCAGAATGCAGTGAGTTATCACTTCCTATAATCTAGACACCAAAGTTGGAGGGTCTATGGGAGTAGAATATTACAAGCACTGTCATACAGTTGATATGGTAGTTAATTTTGCTAAACTGCTCTTTTTTGCTCGCTTGCTTTTTTTTCCTTTCAAATCATTGAGTAAGATTATTCTTTTCAAAAGGAGCAGTTTAGTGTTGAAAAGAGCATGAAAATACTTTGGGGAAAAATATGGATATATCAAGTGGTAAAGGATGTAAGATAGTGTGTCTTTGATAAATGAACATTTTGATGCCTAAAAATAGTATGAAAAGAAATTTGGTTTAAACTGCTGCCAATCTGTATATGATGAAACATGGTTTTCAGATGGGATTTGAGCTATTTTTGATAGATAATGAACTGTGGTGTAAATATAACAACTCAAATCACCTTGTGATGAATGTAGAATTATGCCTCATTTGTATATGGACAATTTTGATGGTTTACATGGATCAAAGAAATAATTTTTATTTATTAAAAAAAGGAAAAATCTGAGTATGAAGAAACAGTTTCAAAGACACAAAATGAGATGGACAATCATGTTAAGAATTTAGAACTGCAGAACATTGTAATCTCTCAGCTCATCTGTTTTAAGACTTAAGATAGTAAACCTAAAAAAGTGAGAATTTATATAATTATTTGGAAACAGAGTTATTATTTTAAAAAGACTGTTAATTGTTCAGGAAAGATTTGGTGAGTTGCTACCTTTTAAGTGAAAGATGCAGCACTAAATACCAGAAGAATCTCACTTAAGGTATTGAAAAGTACTGGAGACAGGTGCATAGGTTCCCGAAGTGGGTTATACCACCCCCTGGGGGGTGCTGGAATGATCCAGGGAGGCAGTAGTAGCTTTGGGTACAATTGGGGGGCACTGAATAAAAATAAGGGTTAACCTAACCTAACCCCGGGGGGGGGGGTGCGATGAGTAGTTTTGTGGTTTTTTTTTGAAGGAGGTGGTAGGTCAAGTAAGTTTGGGAACCTCTGGGATTCTAGAGTTTGAGGCTGGCATAGTGCAAAAATTGAATAATATTTCAGAAGACTCATCAAGGGGGTGAAAAATGTTTTTTATCAGACCTGCTTGAAGAAACAAACAACAGGGTCAGTCAAATAACAGAAAATTTTTGGTTATATAATTCCTGGTTGGTTGGATAGAGGCTCAATCACATTGAATCAGAACTTCAGTTCTAGATAATCTTCTTCAGCACCTCCTGAAGTCAGAGAGAGGTGAAACCTCTTAGAAGTACCTGTTATTCTTTGCTGTTCCCCTCTGGTTTGAGAAGAAAAGTAAGAAAAGACAAAGACAGGTTTTACAGATTCTATATACGGAGAGAAGCTGAGCTTCAACTGGACAGTGCAGAGTTTTGGCAAGAAAAGGTTTGTTTGCCTGACTCAGAGTGTCAATTTGAGATATTTTGTTGTAAGTTATTTTTGCTACAATTTGTTTGGACAACACAGCATCC